GTCATTGTGTGTCTGTCAGTGTGTGTGTGTCAGTATGCCTGTCAGTGTGTGTGTCAGTGTGTGTGTCAGTATGTCTGTCAGGGTGTCTGTCAGGGTGTCTGTCAGGGTGTCTATCAGTATGCGTGTGTGTGTGTCTGTCAGTGAGTCTGTCAGTATGCCTGTCAGTGTGTGTGTCAGTATGCCTGTCAGTGTGTATGTTAGTGTGTGTGTCAGTATGCCTGTCAGTGTGTGTGTCAGTATGCCTGTCAGTGTGTATGTCAGTATGCGTGTGTGTCTGTCAGTGTGTGTTTCTGTCTGTCAGTGAGTCTGTCAGTGTGTCTGTCAGTGTATGTGTCAGTGTGTCTGTCAGTGTGTCAGTGTGTGAGTGTGTCTGTCAGTGTGTCTGTCAGTATGTCTGTCAGTGTATGTGTGAGTGTGTCTGTCAGTGTGTGTGTCAGTATGCCTGTCAGTGTGTGTGTGTCAGTATGTCTGTCAGTGTATGTGTGAGTGTGTCTGTCAGTGTGTGTGTCAGTATGCCTGTCAGTGTGTGTGTGTCAGTATGTCTGTCAGTGTGTGTCAGTGTGCCTGTCAGTATGCCTGTCAGTGTGTCTGTCAGTGTATGTGTCAGTATGTCTGTCAGTTTATGTGTCTGTGTAAGTATGTCTATCAGTATGTTTGTGTGTCAGTTTGTCTGTCTCTGTATATCTGTGTATATATATAAATATATATATATATATATGTTGTCATTGTGTGTGTCAGTGTGTGTATATATATGTGTGTATCTGTATGAAGTCTGTGTGTGTATCTGTGTATCTGCAAGTGTGTCAGGTGTGTATATGTGTGTCAGTGTTTGTATTGTGTATGTCAGGATGTGTATCAGTGTGTCTGTGTGTATGTGTATGTTGTCTTTGTGTGTTTCGGTGTATCTGTATGTTATTAGTATGTGTGTCTGTGTATCTGAATGTGTGTCAGGTTGTGAATCTATGTGTCAGTGTGTGTGTATGTCTACGTGTGTATTTGTGTGTGTATATGTGCATACATCTCAACATTCACATGCTAACACTACACACAAATACACCCTGCATTCAAGCTTCAGCACTACATAAAAATACACGTCTGTGTTAAACACCAATATTATATGTATATACCCCTGCATTCAAAAACCACCACTATACATAAATACATGCTTACATTTAAACGCCAACACAAACATATTCCATACAAAAACCTGTTTACATTGAAACACACAAAAACTGCTTAGTGTTAAATACAAGCCTGCAAACATGGGTAAATGGTAGCGTCCCAGCTGTCAATGCATTGCTGGAGTTGCATGACAGATGGGGATCTACCTTTTAAACATTCTTGCAATAGGGAGGCCCAACAAAAATATTCTTGCACATCTCTACTTTAGGTTGCCACTGTGTTAAGGGTGATAATGTGATTGCACGCCTGGAAGGGTGTACAGGGTCCAGGGGGCCCAAGCAAATGCTTTGCCCAGGGTCCAATCAATATTAAAGACAGCCCTGACTGCACAGCATCAAAGGGAGGATCGACGGGGCCCTGTACCATCAAATCTTGGGTGAGAACCTCCTTCCCTCAGCCAGGGCATTGAAAATGGGTCATTGATGGGTGTTCCAGCATGACAATGATCCAAAACACACAGCCATGGCAACAAAGGAGTGACTCAAGAAGAAGTACATTAAGGTCCTGGAGTGGCCTAGCCAACAAGAAGAAATATATTTTATTATAAGGAAAAGAAAATGATTTTATTACACTCATGTTTCACTCATTCATCATACCTACACAATTTTACATTCTGGTAGCATTTAGGGAAACAGCATTCCTGAAAATGTCAGCAAGTAGTAATACATATTAATGTTGGAGTTAAACTCCGTGAAACTCCATGATAATCAGCCACTGCAATGTTTTACATTCCAGGACTAATGGGAACAGGGGCATTGCACCAAGACCACTTTAATGAGATGAAGTGGTCTAGGTGCCTATAGCGTCCCTTTAAGTAAGTTGAGTACATTTCTAGGTATTTTTAACAGCAATCTATATTATTATTATTATTATTATTTATATAGCACCAGCTATACACATAAAATGTATGTTTTTATTCTTAATTCCATGTGTTAGCAATACATCTGATGTTTGTTATAAGTGCTTTACTATATTTTAAACAAACACAATCACAGAGAATGACTTAAACAAGAGCTATTGTGCTACAATACCAATTGGAATATACTTAGCTGAGATATTAGTCCCGAGCTACACAAAAAGTAGTTCACACAGTTAAAAAAAGACTTTAACATTTCATTTTATATTCATGATTTACTGTTAAGCCACAGATTGATAAATAGAAATATATTTCAATACAAAGAAATAAGGAAAAAGAATCTTGACAAATGATTAGTAAACCACACCATTGTTGCAGTAATGAAATTCTGTACTTTTACAAAAATACATCATGCAAAAAGCCAATAGTAGCCAATATTTTAGTCTCAAACCACCTTCTAGGCACGAATAGCACTGGGAACAAAACATTGGCATCTTGTAGTTTATTCTATAAAATATTTGTAATAAATCACTTTATTGCTGTTTTGCTAAGCACAATGCTGATACTAAACACGGAAAGCCTTTTGTGTCTTAAAGTAATGTACTCTATACCTGATAAAATCTATGTATCTCTTTATTTACGCTGCTCATTTATCTACCAGTATCTAAACCTAGAAGTGTGGAAAATTAGCAAGGCTGATGCAAATTTTTCTGCCAAAATAACTAGATTAAAAAGAAAAACCAGAAGATCAGCATCTTTGTTAAGCCTAATAGAAAAAGCCCTAACAGAGTTTCCTATGATATAACTTTGTTCATAATATAACGTTTGTTTTTCTTAGATGACAAGATTTCCCTTTAGTTATCAGCAAATTCGATTTGGGGATTTTGTGCTGTCATTGGAAAACGAAATGCCCGGTAACAAATTTATTGCCAGTTTTGTTATTTAATGCTATCAGTAAACAGACCCGAGCGCCCCCACAAAACATCCACCGGCTGCTAAATTTTTTACTCCAGAAATCAATGGAACAATAGAACCACAGAAATTAATGGAACAGAAAAATCTAAAAACCATTTAACATACAGTGCTAATGTCTAATGGAAGAAAACTAAGTTAAAACCCCCGTCAAGTTAGCAACTGCTAGGAGTCCATCTAAATCTGCTCTATTTTTCTCATTTTCCAAGTTAAAGGGACACTGTAGGCACCCAGACCACTTCAGCTCATTGAAGTAGTCTGAGTGCTGTGACCCTTTTGCACTCAGTACTGCAATGTTAAACATTACAGTTCCAGAGAACTGCAATGTTTACATTGCAGCTCTAAGTCTGCCCTCAGTGGCTGTCTAACAGGGAGCCACTAGAGGTCTTCCGGAATCCAAACGGACTTTTGGTCCTTTATCTGACGCTGAACGTCCTCACGGACCTCCAGTGTCAGAATTTCCCTATAGGAAAGCATTATTTGTGTACGCATGGCCATTGACGCGCATGCGCATTAGGACTTCCCTGCCGGCCGATGATAGCGGGGTAGGAATGTGGGCAGAGCCTGACCCAGCGCTGAGGGACATCGGAAGGAGTTTTAACCCTTTCAGCGCCAAGGAAGGGGGGCACTCCAAGAGCTTATAGTGCCAGGAAAACGGGTTTGTTTTCCTGGCACTATAGGATCCCTTTAACTAAACATGCTCAACTTATCTGGCTCTCGGTGAACTAAACTTTTCTGTGCGTCAGCCAACAGCCGCAAACCAATGTTTTTCGTACAGGTTTAATAGATCACACATTAATAAAAAAAATATTTTAGATCTTTGCTATAAAATAGTGTGTCTAGTTCTGGCAACACATATTACATCTCCTAAGGATGTAGTTATATCATAGTTTAAAAGGTAACTTTGTCTTAATAGATGCCACAGTAATTCATAAGTAAGTAACCCTCTATAATACCAAATTAGAGTAATTTGAAAAGCAAATACAGTCTAAAATGGCCACGCTACGATTATAGCTATAGTCGTGCTATAGTTGAGAATTTTTTCAAATCATCTAAAATTTGCAATTTGCATTTCTATTCTCCAGAGGTTGATGTTTAGTAAATAAACTTCACTGTCACTTTTAAGTTTCAGAGAATTTCTGAACACCATTTTCTCATAACTGATCAGCTTCAAGTGCCTTTTGACAACCTCCAAAATACAAAGTGAATTGAGCACTCATTAGGAATACCTTCCAAGGGTGCAAAGACCCTGGAATTGCAAGTACTGATCAATGATTTACACACATATGTTTAAGATTTAATATGCTCAATTGTGGCCTTTTCTAAAACCTTTAGAAAGAAATGTGTCCACTATTGGATTGGTATAAAAATATGTGCCAGAGTAGTTGATTAGTTTGCATTCAAAATCAATACAACTGCTAAGGCGAGAGACCGATCTGAACAATAGGTCTATTTCTTTTAATAGGGTTTTGTTGTTGTTTGGAGCATTACAGAGGTAACAACATTTTATGCCAAATACAGTTGCATTAGCACTTGGGGTTCAGATAATATATATTTTAAGGAACACTCCAAGCACCATAACCACTACAGCAAACACTGTAGTGGTTATAACGTCAGGAGTGCCCCGGAGTCCCCTCATTTAAAAAAAACAACAACAAACTAACAGTTTTAGGGTATAGATCAAGCCCTGCTGTTTCACTACTCAGTTCTCTGCCATTTAGAAATTAAACCACTTTACTTATGCAGCCCTAGTCACACCTCCCCTGACTTACACAACCTCTATGTACACTTTGTGTTGGAACCGCTGCCATTTGTACATTTCCCCTCTCTTTATTATGTGTTTTGCCTTATGTGTACGCATATTATGCCTGCTCCCCGTTCAGTGCTTCCACGAAGGGAATCCATTCACCTCCCGAACGTGGACCACCAAAATGGCCCATTTAGAATGCTCATTAGAACATCCATTCGAACGTTCGCACTCTGACATAGTGCCAAAACTGCAAGGGAAGCCTTGGCGCATGTCCTACCTTGGATGGCCGCCTTTTTTCGTATAAATGAATGCCATCTAGGAGGTGCATTTGTGAATTGCTTCCCTCTTCATTCGGTTCACATACTATGATGTAAGATCTTATTGAAAATTAATAAAAAAAATTATGGAGGCTGTGTCAGTCACAGGCAGGGTTCTGCATAAAGAGAAACAAAAGTAATGTATCTCCTAAACAGCAGAGAATTGAGCAGTGAGACTGCAGGGACATAATCTTTACACCACAAAAGCTTAATTAAGCTAAGGTTGTACAGGTGCTAGAGTACCCCTTTAACACCTTAAGGACACATGACATGTGTAACATATCATGATTCCCTTTAAATTCCAGAAGTTTGGTCCTTAAGGGTTTAATTTAGTCATGATTTGCAGTGTCTGCATTTTGAGCATTTGGTAGTGACACTCCAAGCAAGGGTGTGCTCAAGAGATATGTGGTATGGTCAAGGGAATCCTCACATTTGGACACATTGTCCTCCCTGTCCCTAACATTTCCTTGGGTCTGGGCTAACCTGTTTCTGAAGAATGAAAATCATATAGGTAGAGGGTAACTGTGTATGGGTATAAACCTTCACCATTGATGAACCACCCCACCTCTCGTATTTCCCAAATGAACCACAACAAACTTGCTTTGGATTAAAATAGGCCACAGCTTTATTCAAGTATAAATATATAAATCTTCAAACTTCAACTTTATAACATAAAACACAAAGTACCACCTTGCCAACCAAACATAACTTAGGGCAGCTGCCCCTCCCCTCATTCCAACCAGCTCAAGGTCTTTGCTTGGGGCTTCAATTTCGTAATGCTAAGGACTAGCTTCTTATTGGCTCAGTGGGCACGTCCATTATCTATAACTACACCTGAGGTTAAGGGAGGGACATATTTGCTGGCCATGTGTTTAAATTATATTGCAGGAAGGAGGAGCTGGAACGGAGCACTGACAGGCCCCCCAGCACAGGCCCCGCCCCAATGAAGCCCCACCTCCTGCACATAAGCACCGCCCCTGCCGTTAAGCAGCAGACCATGCTGCTGCTAGAAAGGATGGAAGATGGCTGTCTGACCCCCAGCAACAGAGCCTCCAATGACAGGTAGGCTTAATGTGCTTGTGTGTGTGTCTCTGCTAGTGAGAAAGCTTGTGTGTATGAACTTAGCAGTCTGTGTGTGTGGACTCAGCAGTCTGTGTGTGTGTGTGTGTGTGTGTGTGTGTGGACTCAGCAGGCTGTGTGTGTGGACTCAGCAGTCTGTGTGTGTATGAACTCAGCATTATGTGTGTGTGGACTCAGCAGTCTGTGTCTCTCTGTGTGTGTGTGTGTGTGTGTGTGTGTGTGTGTGTATGGACTCAGCAGTCTGTGTGTGTGTATGAACTCAGCAGTCTGTGTGTGTGTATGAACTCAGCAGTCTGTGTGTGTGTATATGGGCTCAGCAGTCTGTGTGTGTATGGACTCAGCAGTCTGTGTGTGTATGGACTCAGCAATCTGTGTGTATGGACTCAGCAGTCTGTGTGTGTGTGTGTGTGTGTGTGTGTGTATATGTCTGAACTCAGCAGTTTTTGTGTGTGTATGGACTCAGCAGTCTGTGTGTATGAACTCAGCAGTCTGTGAGTATGGACTCAGCAGTCTGTGTGTGTGTGTGTGTGTGTGTATGAACTCAGCAGTCTGTGTGTGTATGGACTCAGCAGTCTGTGTGTGTGTATGAACTCAGCAGTCTGTGTGTGTGTGTGTATGAACTCAGTCTGTGTGTATGAACTCAGCAGTCTGTGTGTGTGTGTATGAACTCAGCAGTCTGTGTGTATGGACTCAGCAGTCTGTGTGTGTGTGTATGGACTCAGCAGTATGTGTGTGTGTGGACTCAGCAGTCTGTGTATGGACTCAGCAGTCTGTGTGTGTGTATGAACTCAGCAGTCTGTGTATGTGTGTGTATGAACTCAGTCTGTGTGTGTGAACTCAGCAGTCTGTGTGTGTATGAACTCAGCAGTATGTGTGTATGGACTCAGCAGTCTGTGTGTGTGTGTATGAACTCAGCAGTCTGTGTGTGTGTGTGTGTGTGTGTGTGTATGAACTCAGCAGTCTGTGTGTGTATGGACTCCTTGATCTGTGTGTGTGTGTATGGACTCAGCAGTCTGTGTGTGTATGAACTCAGCAGTCTGTGTGTGTGTGTGTGTGTGTATGAACTCAGTATGTGTGTATGAACTCAGCAGTCTGTGTGTGTGTATGAACTCAGCAGTCTGTGTGTATGGACTCAGCAGTCTGTATGTGTATGGACTCAGCAGTATGTGTGTGTGTGGACTCAGCAGTCTGTGTGTGGACTCAGCAGTAGGTGTGTGTGTGTGTATGAACTCAGCAGTCTGTGTGTGTGGACTCGGCAGTCTGTGTGTGTATGGACTCAGCAGTCTGTGTGTGTGTATGAACTCAGCAGTCTGTGTGTGTGTGTGTGTATGAACTCAGTGTGTGTGTGTATGGACTCAGCAGTCTGTGTGTATGAACTCAGCAGTCTATGAGTATGGACTCAGCAGTCTGTGTGTGTGTGTGTGTGTGTGAACTCAGCAGTCTGTGTGTATGGACTCAGCAGTCTGGTGTGTGTATGGACTCAGCAGTATGTGTGTGTATGGACTCAGCTGTCTGTGTGTGTATGGACTCAGCAGTATGTGTGTGTGTGTGTATGAACTCAGCAGTCTGTGTGTGGACTCAGCAGTGTGTGTGTGTGTGTGTGTATGAACTCAGCAGTCTGTGTGTGTGTGTGTATGAACTCAGCAGTCTGTGTGTATGAACTCAGCAGTATGTGTGTATGGACTCAGCAGTCTGTCTGTGTGTGTGTGTGTGTGAACTCAGCAGTCGGTGTGTGAACTCAGCAGTCTGTTTGTGTGTGTGTATGAACTCAGCAGTCTGTGTGTGTGAACTCAGCAGTCTGTGTGTGTGTGTGAACTCAGCAGTCTGTGTGTGTGTGAACTCAGCAGTCTGTGTGTGTATGAACTCAGCAGTCTGTGTGTGTGAACTCAGCAGTATGTGTGTATGGACTCAGCAGTCTCTCTGTGTGTGTGTGCATGAACTCAGCAGTCTCTGTGTGTGTATAAACTCAGCAGTCTGTGAGTGTATGGACTCAGCAGTCTGTATGTGTATGGACTCAGCAGTCTGTGTGTATGAACTCAGCAGTCTGTGTGTGTGGACTCAGCAGTCTTTGTGTCTGTGTGTATGAACTCAGCAGTCTCTGTATGTGAACTCAGGCAGTCTGTGTGTGTGTGTATGGACTCAGCAGTCTGTGTGTATGGACTCAGCAGTCTGTCTGTGTGTGTATGAATTCAGCAGTCTGTCTGTGTATGGACTCAGCAGTCTATGTGTGTGTGTGTGTGTGTGTGGACTCAGCAGTCTGTGTGTGTGTGTGTGTGTGTGTGTGTGTATGGACTCAACTTGGTCTGTGTGTGTGTGTGTGTATGAACTCAGCGGTCTGTGTGTGTGTGTGTGTGTATGGGCTCAACGGTCTGTGTGTGTGGGACTTAAAACGTGATCTGTGTGTATGGACTCAGCAGAGTCTGTGTGTGTGTGTGTGTATGGACTCAGCAATATGTGTGTGTATGGACTCAGCAATCTGTGTGGGTATGGACTCAGCAGTCTGTGTGGGTATGAACTCAGCAGTCTGTATGTGTGTGGGTATGGACTCAGCAGTCTTTGTGTGTGTGTGGACTCAGCAGTCTTTGTGTGTGTATGGACTCAGTCTCTGTGTGTGTGTATGGACTCAGCAGAGTCTGTGTGTGTGTGTATGGACTCAGCAGTATGTGTGTGTGTGTGTATGGACTCAGCAGTATGTGTGTATTACTCAGCAGTCCGTGTGTATGAACTCAGCCAGTCCTGTGGTAGTACTGTAGAACTCAAGCTTGGTCTTTGTGTGTGAACTCGGTCTGTGTGTGTGAACTCGGTCTGTGTGTGTGAACTCAGTCTGTGTGTGTGCTCAGCGGTCTGTGTGTATGGACTCAACGGTCTGTGTGTGTATGAACTCAGCAGTCTGTGTACTGAGGCTCAACGGTCTGTGTGTGTGTATGAACTCAGCTTGATCTAAGGTGTGTGTATGAACTCGGCAGTCTGTGTGTTTGAACTCAGCAGTCTGTGTGTATGAACTCAGTCTGTGTGTGTGAACGCAGCAGTATGTGTGTATGGACTCAGCAGTCTGTGTGTGTGTATGAACTCAGCAGTCTGTGTGTGTGTTAACTCAGCAGTCTGTGTGTGTGTGTGTGTATGAACTCAGCAGTCTCTGTGTGTGTGTGAACTCAGCAGTCTGTGTGTGTGTGTGTATGAACGCAGCAGTCTGTGTGTGTGTATGAACTCAGCAGTATGTGTGTATGGACTCAGCAGTCTGTGTGTGTGTGTGTGTGTGTGCATGAACTCAGCAGTCTTTGTGTGTGTATAAACTCGGCAGTCTGTGTGTGTATGGACTCAGCAGTCTGTGTGTGTATGAACTCGGCAGTCTGTGTGTGTGGACTCAGCAGTCTGTGTGTCTGTGTGTGTATGAACTCAGCAGTCTCTGTATGTGAACTCAGCAGTCTGTGTGTATGGACTCAGCAGTCTGTGTGTGTGAACTCAGCAGTCTGTGTGTGTGTA